GCAGGGGCAGTGGGAGAAGGAGAAGCAGACTCCCTACTGAGCAGGGAGCCCGATGTGGGACTCAATCCCAGGACCCTGGGACCATGACCTGAGCTGAAGGCAGACGCTTAACCACTGAGCCACCCAGGCACCCTATTTGACAATTTTAAAATGCTCTATAAAGAATACCTGAGGGGGAGAAAAACCAATTATTATTTATGGCAAACTTTTCATCAATGCTTTATATCATAATAAAATCTTAATATATAATATATAATATGCTACATGGATTTTATAATGAAAAATACTAGAAGAATTTGTGGATTTTTTTGAAGATTACTATATTACATATTTTATAAATGTACACTAGAATAAATACAAAGAAAACAAAATATTCATTTAAAAATATATTAAAAAACAAAAATAAAAAATGCATTTATCCATGTATAGAAATAAGTTCTCAATTATTTAGGCTAATGGGCTTTTCTTTAAATACTTTTAGTTAAGAAATTTCTGTAAAATGTGGTGTTCATCCATTGTGAAGCAGATAATGCATTTGATTTGTAAGGTGTATTTAGATTATTGAATTTCAAAGTTTGTAATGTTTACGTAACTGCAAAAGTTTTAAAGTGATTTTTCTAATCCTTGGTGAGGTACCAGTATTAATTCTTTTAGATCAGTATTAGGAAGATTTTTGTGTTACAGAATAACTTTTTTCTTACTGACCTGCTACCGTTTACTTAATTTTAAGAGTCACTGAATGATGATCTGGTAGAACCCGGTTTTAAGAATTATAATATTTGACCAAAAGCAAAAGATGCCAATTAGAAATTGTGGAAGCTAAAGTACTCAAGAATATTTTGAACTGGGGTTTCTATCTTTTTTTCCATCTTCTTTTCCTCCCTCCTGCCCTTAATCTCTCTTTCCATTCACCAGGATGGAAAATCTTTTAATATTATAAATTCAACCCTTTTATTTGTATGTAGTATAAAATCATATGTGGTAGTAATAATGGGTGGGGAAGAGAACTTAGGCTTTGGAGTTAGATTTGCCTTGTGGTTCTACTTGTATGGAACCTGAGTGAGTTATTCTAAGAGTCTCAATTTTCTCATCTGCAAAAGCATGCAAATTAGCACCATTTCAGATTTTATGGTAAGAAGGAGATAATGTGTACAAAATGCTGAACACTATATGAGGCACAAAGTTTCTGCTATTTATTATTATCGTACTGTGCTTCTGGTGCTGTGGATAAGTAAGATAAAGTCCTCTCCTTTGACTTTTCTTTTACGTAGAATGAGATTGTTGGATGATCTTGAAATATCCTTCCAGCTGCAAAATCTTTGGATTTATAACACCTTCTTTCTTAATGATGTTCATGTCCTAGGGATACCTGCATGGACAGTTGGTCTTCCTTAGCTAACTTGCCGATGGATACGTTAAATAAGAGATACATGATCCAAAAATTGAGCAGGTGATATAGGTTCTGGACCCTTTCACCACTCAGATTAGAATAACAAATCTGCAATTCTAATGAATTAAAAGTACTTTTACAATCTGAACTAACATAAAGATTTTGGAGTAATCCAAATAATGCAAATAAAACCTTCTCTAGGAATGCAACTTTCTCTAGGAATAATGTAAAGAATAAGTCAAGTAAAATATGTTTAGTGGCATGTTGAGCACTAGAACTTAATAACAGTTAACATGTTTTGAACTTCTACTGTAGACACAGCCTTATATCTTCAAGAACTTAAAGGAGCAGAAAAGGATGTGCTGGGATTGACATACTATATCCAGGAGGACTATCCAGCTCCTCCAATCTGTGTAGTGTCTGTCCCTAACAGGCTTGTCATCAAAGGATCCCACAAACATCTTGCAGAAGAGGGTCTATGTCCCAGTCTTTTTTTGTATTACTCACATCTGGCCTAATTACCTGGATACAATAGGAACTCCAATTGATATGGACTGACACAACAACAACAAAAAAGTGAGTAAAATTTTGTCTGGAAGATTCCAATACTTTATGGGTTAAATTCTGAGAAGTCACCATTTTCAATCACATGAGAAGTCTGAGAGGACAAAATTGTCTCTTTATTCAGTACACCTTTTAAAAATGGCAACAGTATATTTTGCACATTCCTGCACCATGAAAACTAACTAGAGAGTTTTTTGGGCAAGGTTAAATAAGTCTTTTGTTTGAGAAATGACTTTGAAACTTTCAACAAGGCCTTTCCGTGCAACCCCCTTCTCCTCCCACCCCCCGCGCCCGCCCCCAGAAGTTATAATATTGGAAAAAACACGGAGGCTCTAGTTTCTGCTACAAATTAATATCGTACTGGCCAATCTGAATTTTCAAACTCTGTAGGTTGAATGGATATTCTTTAAAAAAAGGTCAGAATTTTTTTAAATCATGAGCAATGTTTAAGATACCTTTTTGATCGTCCTAAAAGAATATCCTTTGCTTTTCACCAGTCGCATCTTAAAAATTCATAGGTAAAGCTATTATGGTCACTCATATGGGGCTCAACACAGTTATTTTTTTTCTTTGGTGATCCATTGTGATAATTGAGCAGCATCAGAGAGCCTTTCTTCAAATGATAGCCTTCTCTTCTTCCTCATCTTCACAGAACAAAACTACATAGCATCAAACTTGATGCTTGGAAAGACACCGAAAACCCTCTGGATTTCTACCCAAGATATGCGGTAAGACCCAACAATTAAGACAAATAAAAGCAAGATTAGAGTTACTTTCTGGGACACTGAAAGCTACAGGGATGGTTTTTAGTCTTTGTAAAAATGTGCTTTTGGGTTTAGGGTTTCCTTACTTCCTTTCATGCAACCAAAATGAGTGAATGCATATGTAAATAAAACATCTACAAGAATTCTTATGTAAATAAAAATATTATAGCATTCAGAGAAAGAAAAGAGCAGTGATAAAGGAGAGCCAGTGCTGTGGGGCTTTGTGAACAAGGGAGGGAAGGATTTCTTTGTGCCACAACAAAATGTAACCCTGCCCATGAAAAGAAGGAGACAGAAGGCTAGTTTTTGCTAAAAGCCTGGCTGCATGTAACTGACCCAGCGGAGGAAATCCTGGTTCTATCTCTAGGGCTCGTTAGCTGTTCAACATGGATCCTACGTGTTCACAGGGTACCTGTGTCCGTTCTCCTAAAACAAAAGGGAAACCAACACCATTCAGCAGAATTATATTTGAAGCTACTATTGTTTAAGGAGAAAATAAAGGCAAACAAACAAATTATGCTTTTAATTAAAGTTTTTGGGTCTTTGTCCTAATGCTGCTGGTTGCTAACCAGAGGAGAATGTACTTTCTTCTCTCCTACCCTCTCAGATTAGTGTCCTAAATGTACAAATCCAAGTTCCCCATGGAGATGGGCATTTTCAGTGTGAACAAAAACGACACCACTTGAGCAAAATATCAATCATCCCTTGAGGTTGGCAGGCTCTCACTAAAATGTTTTTATGGATGTTGCCTTATTTTATGACCGTTCACATCCTGGCATAAGCCATAATCAGTTACATAAGGGACACAAGTTTCTGTGAAATACCCACAAACAATTAAGTCAATAATCTGCAAATTATGGATATTGATGCTTTTCCGTTTCTGAGCAGTAAAGATAGCTAATCATCATCTTGTATGCTTTTATCAAAAATCTCAGCTAGAATACAAATTGCAGAGGTTTTGCTTCCTTCTCATGTTACTGACCTGCCATTTGCTACACAGCTATTGTTAGGTGTAAAATACATTTCTGAAAAGTGGACTTAATGTTACGCACTTGGTTGAAAACACAAGTCAAATGTTCTACATTATTAATTTTCCCTCTTCTCTCCAGTAATACATTATTGGATTTTTATGACCTAAAAGTTAAGCAAATTTAGATAATAGTATAGACTTGAAAAAAAAAAGTGACTTTATAGAAGTAGATCGCCATGGTAATTACTTGATGCTTCACTTGTTTGCAAAGAGATGGTACTAATTTTTTAAGTTACAGTTTGCAATAAAAGAATGCAAACCTATTTTTACATGGTTTTAGATTTTTTTTTAAATCAACATTCCATTTAAACATGACATGAAAAATCTGTCATTTGTCACACATTAATTAAAATGGTACTGAAAACTTTAATAAGCTAGAAAGAGCCCCTTTAAACAAGTTGAAAACAACAATCGAGATAAAATTCAAAAAATTCCCACAAAGGGAAAAATATACAAACAAGCAAGAACCAGTTACTGTGTAACACGCAAACATAAGCAAGGATTCAAAGATGTTGTTAGTAGTGGCTTTATCCTAAAGGTAATTATTACCAGTGCTTTCTGGCGTGGGAGGAAAATCCTACAGTAACTTTCAGGAGGAATCTCACTGACCCCTATAACAAGCACTTGGATGCCTTCTCGGTGTAAGTCAGTTAATAAAAAAGGCATCTTCCTTTCTAAATATTACACCTGCAGTCGTCCATCCTTGGGAATCATTCAATTCATTGGTGAATACAACCCACATACATCAAAAGTTTCCATTTTTTCCAGCTCTTTTTAACAACAAGTTCCCTCCCCTCTCCCCAGGCTTCTTGCGGCTATCCAGGGAATCTTTCACTTTTTGTCCTTTCCCGACCCTTCTGGACCACATTTTCTCTTCTTATTCAGGCCATCTGCTCTCAAGGAAGGTAAAACTTCTGCGAAGAAAACAATCAGCATCCCCAGCAATCCGTCGCTTTTGTGAACTACCCTTACAGCCCCTGCCTATGAAGACACACAGGGTGCAGATCACGACTCAAATTATGATAGTAGTTTAAAAATAGTTTGTAATTGATACATTTCTGGCCACAGCCTCCCCCTTTATCCTGCCAGTGGTACAATCTTCTTGCTCTTGACAGAAGTCTTTCTAAAGATCTGCTCAAGCCTCACTAAGCAGCTGTGAGTTAGGTCATTTTCCCAGGAGTTTTACATGTGGAAAACTGGGCATTAGTAAGGCCTCAAAAAGGACACCATCTGGCCCTGGTGAAAAAAAGGATCATGACACTTCCTGTGGTACCAACAGACCCTGATGAACCAGAAAGGAATTCAGCTCGGGACTGTGATCCAATAGAGACCGGCCCCACAATCACCTCCGTGACAGCCAACTCCATTCATCTCAGCGGTTATCTTGTAACACAATGCACTTTTGTGCCATGCTGTTTACTGAAGGCGGAGCAAAGTCCATTTGGAGTTTTGTGTTTCGTCTCAGTGCCTGCCCTCTTTCCTGGAACACATACCACATCAGGAGCCGCACAAAGAACAGCGCTTTCCCTTCCCATTCACACTTCTCAGTCTCCCTCCCACTGTACATGCGCTGTAAGAAGAAAATGCCGGGCTCCTCGGAGGCTTCAAAAAGACCTTTGCCTGATGGGAAGCACCGCCCCTCCCGCTTTCAATAAAAATGATTTTAAACTCGTCGGATCAACAGGCTTTTTGGGTTTGTTGTTGTTGTTGTTGTTGTTGTTGTTGTTTGTCTTGTGGAGGAAAAAAAATGGAAACTTAAACACGTAAGGATGGCTCACATGAACACTTGCTGGAATGTTCTGGTTCCATTGATTCCATTAGGTGTTGGGGTGTTGAAAGGTCCTGTTAAAACTACAGCATCCCCCCCCAAAAAAACCTACAGCATCCACCTCCCCCACAATCCAGGCTTTCTTTTTCAAAAAGAGAGGTGTCTGACGCCAGCGCTGTGAGAGGGGGACACCTTTCATTGTCATGGCGTTTATTACAGTTTACACAGGCTTTTTATGTTTCCTACTTTAGAACATGGAAATTGGGAAAGTCTAATTAACAACAACAGATCCTTAATTCTTAATTTTTCTCTTTGGCTGACTGTATTATAGAAAAAGACAGCAAGCAAAGAAACCACTTAATTAACACAGTATCAGCAACTATATATATTTGCTTTTTACACATAAAATATTAGTTGCAGCGGATGATCGGAAACCCTGAAATTGGTCCTCCCAGAAAGGTACCGTGGCCATTCGGGCTCAATAGGGACTTCCATGGGAGAGCTTTTTCTACCATCTCACAGCGCAAGGAAGAGGACCTGGGTGTGATGGGAAGGGGCTTTCTTAAATCTGAGGGATCCCCCCTCAGTTCTAATCAGATTCGACTTCGTTATCCACCTTTCATCTTTAAATAAAAATTCTCGCAGCCCTAAGATACTAAGCCTCATTTTGCCAGCCACTGGGGGTTTCCTCTGTACATAGACCTGAATCCTCCCCCACTGTTGGATCCTTCTATAGAAAGCCATATTGTCACACAAAGGGACCTTAGGGTTAGCGAAAATGATTAAGGCCTACCATTTCTCCTATTCTCAGAAGTTAGCTTGGGAAGGGGTGTAGAGAGACTGCCCTTCTTCTGCTGCTGCCCAGGTTTTGAAGAACTTAAAAAGCCAACACAAAATGAGTAGAATTTAATGAAGGAAAACGTTTCTCTGACTCTGATTTCCTGTTGGAAGTGATGGGACTCTACTGTGGGAAGACATAGCTGATAACTCACTCATTAACATGTGTGTCCAAGGCCTAATCTAGGCTTTCTCCTTTAACATAGAATGGCCACCACTGGCGTTATTCCTCAAGTACCCATTGAGAGAAGTTTAAAACCACAATCCTTATTTGTAGTCATCAGTGAATTGTCTTTGGATTCAATGACCATCAGCAGCATATTGTGGCCTATAAAGCCCAGGGTTTGTGGACAAGGCTCCCCTTGTAATAATGAAAATGCTGTAAGTCACGGCTTGCTTCGGAATGAAGACGAGAGATTGAGAAAGAGAGAGAGAGAGAGAGGGAGAGTTTCTATCTTGAAAGATCCAAAAACAGAATATGAACCAGCCAGCATCCTACTGTGCTGATGTTTGTGCAATATGTACACACTTATTTATCTTATTATGAGTCACAGTCTTTCAAAGGATCTTTCCAATGGCTTAAATAAGAAAAGTACTAAAAACAACAACAAAAAAAACCTTTGAGGCAAAGACCAGCAGTTAGGGCCACAGCCGTTGGGGCCTGCAGGCGACCTGCCAAGAATAGGGGACACAGAGCTGCTGGAGTGAGGCCTGGGGAGGGCATGGGATGTGGCTATTTGGAAAACCACCTCCGAGGTAGCAGAGACTATCCCTACAACAGAAGGAAGGAGGGGGGGGTAAGGAAAAAGGAGTAACCTTAGCAGGAGAAGGAAGCTCAGGTTTGGTGTGTGCTGCCTAACATAAAAGCCCTTTTGGCACCAGAAAAAAAGGGCTGAAATATCCAGACTTTATCAGGCACATAAGTATTTGGTAATTTGGAACACAGACTCATTCTTATCTTAAAGATCTCTGATACTCTCTCTAAGAGTCATAAAGGTTTTGTTTTTGTTGTTGTTTTGTTTTTTGCTTTTTTTTTTTAATAAAAGAACAATTGAAAACCTGGTAGATCATGAAATAATTTTACCTATTCTCTTCTGACACTTTTCTTGGCACTGATTTTGCAACATTAACATACTTGCCTTGTATTAAATGATTTTAAAGGAATAAGATGTTAATTAAAAATATAAGCACCATCTCAGTTGCTGGGAAGGCCCACGTGAGCATTGTTTTAAGCTGGAGGCCTGTGCTCTCCTTACCCCTTCACCACCCCCCCACCCCGCCCCGGGGGCCCCCCACCTCCGAAACAAGCTCTGTTTTGAGGCAACAGTTCCCTAGGAAGAAAACAACAGAAGCAGAAACAATTTGCTCCTTTAAGGATTTGAGAATGCTTATGTTGGAACCTCACAAAAGCGGCGTTATGTCCTTGAACATTCTAAAGATCATTGTTAATAGGATCAATTTTTGTGTGTTATTCAACTGGATCCTTCCTAGCCTGTAAGAACGGCATTTTAGTAGAGGGACATGGTGGCGATGGGGGTGGGGGCGGAGGGTAAAGGAAGGCCCGGCAAATTCCATGTGATCAGTTCAGCTGCAATAATCTCTTTTCTCCTTCTTGACGAAGCCACACATGAGAGCACTCTGGTGTCTTTCATCATTATTTGTCACCCTTTTGTGCGGAGCAACTTATATCCACAGCCATTCCAGCAATTAAAATGAAAAAGAACCAAACAGTATTCTCATTGACTACGCGGAGGCCAGTGCCACCAAGTGCCATCCAACCTATTGAATGTCGGGTATCTAATGCCATTAGAGCTCTGCAAGGATTCTGTGGAAAAAGAAAAAAAAAAAAAACAAATAAATAGTTACATGCAGAATGTAGAGGATGATTTAAAAAGATAAAATCTTTTAACGCATTGGCGGTAGCTAGATTGCCTGTAACAGGCTCTCTCTGTGATAACTTGAAAAAGGAACTAAGTCAGCAACTGACAGGGATTAGGACTCACATGGAAAGACTGAGAACTTTGAATTCTGGTAGACAAGTAGTCATAAAGTGAAACAAATTCAGTGAGAACAAGTCCATCTTGTTTCTGTTGAAATGCCTTCTGAAAACAACTATGAGCATTCGATTAGCCTAATTTCTGTGATTTAATAAGTACACTGTACTTCTCTGAAACTATAATGAGTCACCATATTTCCAGGAAAGCTACATTTTAATGTCCTCTCCCCAAAAAGGGCAAACGGAAGGAAAGTAAAGATAAACCAACCTGTCCAAGACCACAGGCAGAGTCAGGATTGAAGAATGGTGATCACTTGAGTTGGTGTTAACTTCAGATTGTGTAGTCCAGAACCTGCAGACTCCACGAGTCGCTTTCCTTATTCCACCAGCTACTCCTTTTTAATATTATTTTCATCTGAAAATTTTAGGGTCATTACAAAAAGACCATCAATTTTGAATCTATGTATCTGTTCTTCCATTCAGGGTGTAGCTTTTTAGAAAATATCATTAATAAAGTTCTCTTAAATACCAAGAATGCACTTTTCCAGGCATTGTAATACAAACTGCCGGTAGATGTTTGTCTTATAATTTAGTTGGGAAAAAAAGATTTGTGTCTGAAATGATAATTAGAATTTAAAGAAGTTCTGGGGAGGCACCAAGGACTTCAGGAGATAATAAAGAACCTTCTAGAGAATATCCTGAGATTGGAAGGAAGAGACAGAGGGCTTGCTTGAGGAAAGGAGCAATGGGGTGTTTGAAACCAGCAAAGGTGATGAAACACTCGGTAAGCACTTTCTACGAAGATACACCCATGTGGGCAGAGCCATCTAGAAAGCGCTTCATGCTCCTATTGTAGTTTCAGTGCTGACCAAACCTGTTTGTTTGATGCAGAAAGGTTGGAGCCGGAATTCCCAAATAGTGATTTTACTTTTATTCTAGAGACATGGAGCCATTGAAGGGTTGTCCACAGTGATGGACTGACTTTGGTTGACTTAGACATGGTCAAGTGACTGAGGTTGGGGGGGCGGGGCAGAGGGGAGCACATAACCTAGTTCAGTCTTGTAGGTGGGGTGGGGAGAATTATCAAATAACCCAACATGTGAGAGAAATGCCAGGAAGACCTATCCCCCCAAAAGACCCTCATCAGTGACCTTTAGGATCACATAGCCCAGTGTGAGGGGCTACAATATAGAGTGGCTGAGTACTGGCCAGTTTGTGGTCCAGAAAGGCACTTCTGTGTTACACTCTTAGGATGCATTATGACTGTAAAGAAAACAGCAGAGACAGAGTCTGTCTTTTCTTCTCCAAAACTGGGATTTGATGACAGTATCTGTACAACCCCTTCAGGAACGGAAAATTCTAGAACTGGCAGAGTAACTTCTTATATTTAACATTCTTCCCTATA